TATCAGCATAATCATCTTCATCATCATCACCATCATCACCGACATCAGCATCAGCATCAGCATCAGCATCAGCATCAGCATCAGCATCATCATCATCATCATCAGCATCAGCATCATCATCATCATCATCATCATCATCATCATCATCATCCTCATCATCGTCAGTACTTTACCCATCATCATTGTAGGAGTCAGTACCATTATCATTATCAGTATCATTATCATCATCATACACATCATCATCACCAACATCGCCAACACCATCAACAGCATCAACATCATCACCACCAACATCGGCAGCAGCAGCATCATTGGCATCATCAGTAACATCATCATTATCATGCACTGCCATCACAATCACCAGCATCATCAGCATCATCACCGCCGCTGCCAATATCATCATTATCGTTATCATCCGCACAAATATCACCATCATCCTCATCAGCAGCATCATCGTCGTAATCATCAGCATCATCTTCATCATCATCATCATCGTCATCATTATCGTTATCATCGTCATGATCACCACCACTATCATCATCATCAGCATCATGTTCAGCATCAGCATCATCGTTATTATTATCACCAGTACTTTACTCATCATCATTGTAGGAGTCAGTACCATTATCATTATCAGTACCATCACCATCATCATACACATCGTCATCATCATCATCATCATCGTCAACATCACCAACATCGCCAACACCATCAACAGCATCAACCTCATCACCACCAGCATCGGCAGCAGCAACAGCAGTGGCATCATCAGTAACATCATCATTATCATGCACTGCCATCACAATCACCAGCATCATCAGCATCACCACCGTCGCAGCCAATATCACCATCATCTTCATCAGCAGCATCATCGTCATAATCATCAGCATCATCTTCATCATCATCACCATCGTCATCAGTATCGTTATCATCGTCATGCTCACCACCACTATCATCATCACCATCACCATCGTCATAATCATCATCGCCATCATCATTACCAGCAGCATCGTAAGCCTCATCGTCAGTATCAGCATCATCATCATTACCAGCATGATCAACTATTCCTCACAGTTAATAACGTCATCACCACTACCATCATCAGCATCACCATCATCACTGGGAGCATCATCATTATCATCATCAGTATCATCATTATCATCCTCATCATCACCGCCATCTCCACCCGAGAACATGATTTTGAGCGGCAGCAGAATCATCATCACCACGTTCATCGTCATGGTCTTCACCATCATCGTCACCACCACGACCACCGCCATCAGCATCCAACTCGTAATTACCATCCGCATTCCCATAATCGTCACCACCATCAGCATAACCATCGCCATCAGCATAATCATCGCCATCAACGCCGTCGTCGTCGCCATCATCAGCATCATCAGGATCAACATCAGCAGCATCATCGTCATAATCGGCATCGTCATCATTATCGTCGTCGCCTTCGCCATCATGATCATAATCAGAACCATCATCGTCATCCTCCTCATCGCCATCGTAATCGTCAAACTCATCATCACGGTCAACAGGATCACCGCCGTACGTACCGTCCGTACGATCAGCACCGTAGCGAGCCGAAAAACGACGACGACAAGGACGACGAAGACGACGACGAAAAAACATCGAAGACGAGTCCCGCCCACCCGCTCATACATGGTGCCTGGCCGCACCTGTGGCCCGTGAGATGCGGCCGACGACCAGTCCCACCCAGGGCACGGCGGATTCGTGTCGCGACGACGTCGGCGCTGGCTTCTAACACCGCGTGGATCGTTTAGACGTGAGCGGTAGTGGCTTTCCGATTGCGCAAACCGTTCGATATCGGCCGACGACGTGTCCCGCACGCCCGCCCGACCAACAGACTCGCCAGCAAACGACACGACGACGACGACGCGGCGAGGCCGAGTGTCGGGATGGAGGGGGGGGGTCCACAAAGGAAGAGGCGGGATATTCGAGGGAGGGAAGCACGTCCCAGAGAGAAGGGAAGGTTAGGAATGTGCACCAGTGAGCGTACACCGTACACCCAAAAAACCATGATCATCATCATCCTCAGCATCATCATTATCGTCATCATTATCATCGTCACCATCACCACCACCACCACCACCAGCGTCAGCATCATCATCACCACCATCAGCATCATCAGCATCACCATCATCATCATCATCATCATCATCATCATCATCATCATCATCATCATCATCATCATCATCATCATCATCATCCTCATCATCATCATCATCATCGTCATCAACATCGTAGTCGTCGGAATAATAATCAGTATCGGGATCATCATCATCCGCATCATCATCATACTCAGCATGATCACCACCATCATCATCATCATCATCATCATCATCGTCATCGTCATCAACAACACCAGAACCATCGTCATCAGCAGCATCAGCAGCATCGTCACCAATACCATCCGCATCATCATCATCATCACCAACAGCATCAGCATCGTCATCGTCAGCATCACCATCGCAATTATCATCATCCCCAGCATCAGCATCATCAGCATCGCAAGCATCGTCAGCATCACCATGACAATCGCCATCATCACCATCATCAGCATCAGCATCATCATCGTCCGCATCGTCAGCGTCAGCATCATCGTCATCATCATCAGCATCATCAGCATCGTTGCCGTCATCGACACCACCATCATCACCAACATCACAACATCATCATCGTCGTCATCGTCATCCTCAGCATCTTCAGCACCATCATCACCATCATATTCATCCTCATCAGCCGCATCATCATGCTCGTCAGCACCATTAGCATCATCATCATGATCATCATCTTCGTCATCATCACCATCCTAATCATCGTTAGCATAATCCTAATCATCATCCTCATCATCATCCCTCTCCACCTTCACCCCCACCTCCTCTGTCCCTCTCTCCTCCTGCTCGCCGCCAGGCCTCGTCCACGATGCCGACGTGGCGCCGCACCCTTGCCTTGGGGTCCTCCCGCGGCAAGCGGGGGAGCGACGACTGGATGCAACAGAGAAGGCGTGGGAGGAGGGGCGGGAGAAGGAGGAGGCACAAGAGTAGGAGGAGGGGGTTCAGAGAAGGAGGAGGAAGGAGAAGGTGAAGGCGGAGGACGCGGAGGAGGAGGAGCGCACGCTACGAGGGGAGGGGTCCAGAGTCCACCGCCGCCCTGTCCCAGCGAAGCCTGGCCTGGCCCCCTGCGACGCCGCAGCTGGTTGAGACGGGCGAGTGCGCGTGCAGAAAGCCTCGATATCCCACCAGAGGGAGTAAGCCTTTGCGCCAAGCGCAGGCCATGATCACAGCGGAAGGTGGGATCATGCAAAATACCAGAATCAACGAACGTTACATGGATAGGCCCAGGGAAGCACACACCAAGAAAGTTCGCGGACCGAGAAACACAGGGAAGGCGTTACAACAAACAGAGGGGCACTCAAGGTAGCGAATCGTGCTGGCACCCGTTAGGTAACGACAACATATACCATTAAGAGTGAGATCCCTAAACCTTGCGGAGCGACCCCACGCATTACTGAAGGTATTAAGCGCGGAAACAACTACATAATAAGGCACTAACAGATACGAACAGGGCAACGCGCTTCGACATCATAATAAGCGATGAGCATCGTCCCTGGAACCGTTGAGCTTGTGCATCCGATACAACAAGAAAGTTGTCCTGTAGTGGGGCGGGTGAGACCTCCGAAGGCAACAGGGGAGACCTCCAAGCGATATCACTCATCACTTTCAGCGTCTCGTGAATACGAGCTTGGGCCTGAAACAAATCGTGGGAATTCCATGAAACACACAAACAGCAACGCGTGAGACCAGATCTGCGCGCCGTAGCTGAATGAACATCCCCAGCTCTTCTAAACTCTCACGCATCACGGCACTGAGAGAATGTTTGGGCCCAACAGCAAGAGCTTACCCACCTGCAGCCACAGAGTTGCAACCCAACTTGGAGGGACGACCGAATTGCATAATATATAATAGGCAGCTAGAGGCCTTGTGGTCGAGCACGACGATACTTGTGGAGAAGTCCCAAGGATTTCACCTCACGAGGCCAAGACAAGCATTTCCGAGAGGGAGCCTCTCAAGACGATGCACACCCGTCCTTCCCAAAACAGACGCCCAAATACTTGGCTTGATTGGGATTCTGGAACGTGGACGGCAAGCCGCCAGCACGAAGGGCGGCGCGGGAGGCGCCGCCGGGGAGGGGGGGGGGGCCAAGCGCGGATCCAAGAAATCCGCGCGGAGCGCCAAAGTTCATGTTCGTGCCGTTCTTTCCTCTTCGGAATATGGGGGCAGACAGAGAGAGAGAGAGAGAGAAAGAGAAAGAGAAAGAGAGAGCGCGCGGAGCGAGGCGGCCGCGGCGGCCGCAGCGGACCGCGGCCGTCCTTCTCGGGGGGACTCTCCCCGTCCAAGGCCTGCTGACGACGTTCGCATGCGCGCCGCGCGCCGGGGGCCATCAGGTGGGCGCCCACCTGGGACGCGGCCGCTGCCCTCCTTCACCCTCCATCCTCCGTCCCCCGTCCTCCTCCTCCTTCTCCTCCTCCTCCTCCTCCCCATCATCATCATCATCATCATCACCATCATCATCATCATCATCATCATCATCATCAACATCATCATCATCATCATCATCATCATCATCATCATCATCATCGTCATCATCGTCACCATCATCACATTCTCCTTAGTCATCATCATCCTCAACAACATCAACATTATCATCATCAGCAGCAGCATCATCATCATCTGCATCACCATCAGCATCGTCATCCTCATCGTTATCATCATCATCGTTGTCTTCATCGTCATTGTCATTATCATTAACAGCATCCAACTCATCATCATCATCATCATCATCATCATCATCATCATCATCATCATCATCATCATCAACGTCACCACCACGACCACCACCATTATCATCCTCCTCTGCATCACTATTACCAGCAGCATCATCGTCATCATCAGCAGCATCACCGTCGTCGTCGTAGTCCGAATCATCATCATCATCATCATCATCATCATCATCATCATCACCAACAACATCATCATTACTGTCACCATCAAGTCTATCGTCATCATCATCAGAATCAGCAGCATCACCATCAGCATCGTCGCCGTCTTCGTCATCATCAGCAGCATCACCGTCGCCACCATCGTGGCCATCGTCATCAACAGCATCCCCATCATCGTCATCCTCATGACCAGCATCATCGTCGTCACTGTCATCATCTCATCGTCGTTCGTATGTCCACCGCCATCGTCATCGCCGCCACCAACAGCATCATCAGCACAGTCGGACTGCTAACCTAACGAGGGGGCCTCTCTTGCCACGGTGGGCATCAAGGCACACGTACGCTCCCCGACGGAAGCCACAGAGCGCCCCGAAAGTCGTAGCCCCTCCTGAGCCCAGAGCGGTCCTTATTTCAGAGTCTTGACTGTAGCAGGAGCGGTAGGATGAGGAGGAGGAGGAGGAGGAGGAGGAGGAGCTTTGATAGGAGGAGGAGGAGGAGGAGGAGGAGGAGGAGGAGGGGGGGAAGGAGGAGGAGAAAGAGGAGGAGGAGGAGGAGGGAGAAGGAGGGGAGAGGAGGAGGAGGAGGAGGAGGAGGAGGAGGATGAGGAGGAGAGGAGGAGGGGGAGAGGAGGGAGGAGGAGGAGGAGGAGGAGGGGGGAAGTAGGAGGGGGGGAAGAAGGAGGAGGAGAAGGAGGGGGAAGTAGGAGGAGCTTTGAGAGGAGGAGGAGGAGGAGGAGGAGGAGGAGGAGGAGGAGGAGGAGGAGGAGGAGGAGCCTGTGCCCTGCGAGAGCGCCCGCGGCGCGGTGCGCCTCGGGCGTCGTCCTCGGCGGCGCCAGGCCCTCTGAGGGCCCTCCTCATCGTCGACAGCACCATCATCGTCGTCACGCTCTTGACCTAGGAGGCGACTACTGGGAGTTATTCGTCGGAAAAGGATTAAGCCCCATTTGGGAGCTCTTACGCCGGAATGGCCCTCGGGCGAAGCAAGATTAAGCCGGATTAAGCGGGATTGAGCGGGGTTAAACCGGATTAAGCGGGATTAAGCCGGATTAAGCTGGATTAAGCCGGATTTCGGACCAGGGCAGAATCCGAATCTAACCTCCCAGCAGTTGCATCCGAACTTGACCACCTGCTTCATGCACGCACTTTCACCGCTCAGGTTGCCGATCCTCCTCGGCATCCTTCTCGTCGTCACCACCGTCGTCATAAGCCCTCAGGGGCAGCAGCCTCAGCAGTGTTGCCTCAGTTGTCAGTGCCATCATAAGCATCATCGTCATCATCATCGGGCCGATCCTCACGATCGTCATCATCGTCGTCACTCCTGTTGCTCTGCTGCTGTTGAACTCTCTCTGCTAAAAAAAAATCAACCGTGTTGATGCCTCTCTGCCGACACGGTGCCGTTCCATTGGAATGCTTACCTCGAGGCTCTAACCCTGTTTTTACCAAGGATTGGTGCTCAGACTGCGCCCCTGGCGCCCAGACGACGACAACAACAACGGCTCCCGCATTGCAGTTCCTTCTCCCTTTCGATGTCTCCAGAAATCGCGCTCTGGCTCGAGACTTCCACGCAACTTACTGAAGAATCGCGCTTCCGCCGAGGACTTCCTCGCTATTGTCAGGTTGGGCGTATCCCCCTACAGGCGGATGTTGGACAACAGTGAAAAAATGGGAAACAAATGACAACAAAAACGTCCCCAGACTATTGTTTGACTATGTTTAATATCCGTCGTGCAACTCATGGTATCCGCCGTGCTGCTCGTGTAACTACTGGTGTCCGTCGTGCTGCTCGTGGTACGCGCTGGACTGCACCTCGTACCCGTCGTGCTGCTCGTGGAACTCGCCGTGTGACTCACCCGTCGTGCTGCTCATGGTGCCCTCCTTGCTGCTCCTGGTACCCGTCGTGCTGCGCATCCGCCGTGCTGCTCCTGGTGTCCCGCGTGCTCGTCGACGTGCAGCTCTTGGTAAAAGTCGTGCTGGGCGTGGTGCTCGTGGTGCAGCTCGCGGTATCCGTCGTGCTGCTCCTGGCACCCGTCGTGCTGCGGATGGCATCTGTCGTGCAGCTCGTGGTGCCCGTCGTGCTGTAGCTCGTATCGGTCGACGTGGGCGTGGTCTCCGTCGTGCTGCTCGTGGCACTTGTCGTGCAGCTCACGGAATCCACTCTGTCAGTTGAGGCTGGCAGGCCTGTAGCTGTCCCGGGCGCGTGACCGATGAATTGTGGGAGGGCGTCTGCCCTGAACTCGGCCAGAGTCGAAACTGTGCACGAGTTCTCGCCCCACGAGGGTGGACGCCGGCGTGTCGCCCTATGCGGGGGATGCCAGCCTGTCGATGCATTCCAGTGCTGCTCGTGGTCTCCGCCGCGCTGCTCGTGGACCCCGTCGTGTTGCACGTGGTACTCGTCGTGCAGCTCATGGAATCCGCGATTGTGCTGTAGCACGTGCAAGTGTTGGCGCCAGCGGCAGAGCTGGCGACGGCGCCGGCGTAGACGATGGCGCTGGTGCCGGCTTAGGCGCAGGCGTAGATGCTAGCGTGTCGGTGCTGGCGTTGATGTCGGCGTAGGCGCAGGCGTTGATGCTGGCGACGGTGCTGGCGTCGGCGCTGGCGGGAACGCTGGCGTTAGAGCTAGCGTTGGCGCAGGCTGGTCATGTCGCGTGCTGGTCATATCGCTGCGGTCGATGCTGTTGCTGCATCTCCTTTACTCCTCCAGCCCTCATTGCCATCACCTGTCCTCCACAAGAGCAGCGAGCATGCTGACTCCAGTCTCGAGCATCACATATCACCGTTCCAAGGCTGCTCCGCAGCGTAGGACGGAGGAGCGAATCGCGGCCGCAGAATCGTTGAGATCACATGCAAACATGTGTAACAACATGCCGTGTAACGACGAGGCTGGGGAGGCAAGACGAGGCGAGCCATGTGAAGAAGGGCATGGTGATCACACAGAACGCGACATGCAAAGAGTCACAAAAGGATCTGGAAGCAAGGAAAACGAAGGAACTGCAGGGCGATATCTCATGGGTGCGGAGGCCATCAGAAAGCGGCACGCGCACCAGGGTCCCATGCGAGCGCACGAAAGAGGCAGTGGCAGTGGAGGAAGAGAGAAAGAGGGAGAGTGAAAAACGAGCTCAACTAGAATGTTCAAGTTGTGCCGCGTGGCATAACCGCGCCACCTGCAGATCCTCCCGTGCCAGGCGGGAAGGAAGCCCTAACAAAATGTCTGGGGTTGATCGCCGCTTGCCGGGCGGGATCCAACTATTGCATTCGATGGGCTACAAGTCCTGGCTTCTCGTCATGGTCATCATCGCCGTCTCTGTCATCACCACCACCATCACCACCACCGTCATAATCACCATCATCATCGTCGCCGTCATCCTGACCGTACTCTTACTACTTTCTAACTACGACTGCTGCTACTGCTACTGCTGCTAGTACTACTAGTTCGGCTGCTCTAGCTCGTCCTCATGCTAGTGCTCCCATGTGCCTCTGCTGCTGCGGCTCATCATCCTTCCCCCCTCCTCATCATCATACTCTTCCTCCTCCTCCTCCTTCTCCTCCTCCTCCTCCTCTTCCTCCTCCTCCTCTCCTCCTTCCCTAGTCATCCTCCTTCCCCTCCTCCTCCTCCTCCTCCTCCTCATCATCATCATCATCATCATCATCCTCCTCCGTCACTCCACCTTCTAACTAACCTCCCCCTGCAACATCACCGGACATACCCAGCCAGGCGCTTCGCTTGTCCTGGGGTATACAAACGTGGATCTAGAAGACGCCTCGAAAAGTGACACGCGTGGAGGGCTGGTCATGGAGGCACTCATCTCTCGCCTTAGCGCCGGGAGCACTCGCCTTAAAGGCTTGCATTCGCTCCACGGATGGAGGGGGAGGAGGAGGAGGAGGAGGAGGAGGAGGAGGAGGAGGAGGAGGAGGAGGAGGAGGAGGAGGAGAGGAGGAGGAGGAGGAGGGAGGAGGAGGGGGGAGGAGGAGGAGGGGGGGGAGGGGGGAGGAGGGGGGGGGAGGAGGGGAGGGAGGGGAGGAGGGGGAGGGGGAGGAGGGGGAGGAGGGGAGGAGGAGGAGGAGGAGGAGAGGAGGGAGGAGGAGGAAGGAGGAGGAGGGAGGGGAGGAGGATGAGGAGGATGAGGAGGAGGAGGAGGAGGAGGAGGAGGAGGAGGAGGAGGGGGGAGGAGGAGGAGGAGGAGAGAGGGAGGAGAAGGAGGAGGAGGAGGAGGAGGGAGGAGGGGAGGGGGAGGAGGGAGGGGGAGCGGGAGCAGGAGGAGGGGGAGCGGCAGGAGGAGGAGGAGGAGGACGGCACGTTTTCAACATGGGGCTCTTGCTTTTGTCGCACTCCCGATTGCTCGAAGGAGGGAGAGCGGCCTCTGTGAAGGAGCCCAGGGACACACAACTAATTACACACTGAAATCCCAGGATACCCCATAGTTTGCCTATATGTTCTGGGTGTTCGCCTCCCCCCCCCCACACTTCCCATAGTTTCCCAGATTTTCCTCGGAGTCGGCGATTAACTCAGTCTGTTTGTTTCTTTCCCTCCTGACTCTTTCAAAGCAGAGCACCCGCCTGAACTGTAAGCCTGTTGGAGTGACCGTCTGTGAACGGGTTCTCTTCGCGCAGTGGAAAACAACACGTGCACGGACGAACGAGATGACTTGGGATGGCCGGGTGTTGCAGAATCCCTGGTAGATCTGAGGTTTGCTCTGGGCCTCCTCCTCCTCCTCCTGCTCTGTCTGCTCATCCTCCTCGTTCTTCCCCTCTTCCTCCTCCTCCTCCTCTTTCTCCAGCGCGACGCGAGAGAAGCAGGAAAACAGGAAGCAGGAAGCAGGGGAAGGTGAGGAGGAGCAGCGGCAGGTGCAACGGGAGGAAGAGGAGGCAGAGGAAAGAGCGGAGCAGAGCGGGGAGGCGGAGGAGAGGAGGGAAGGGCAAGAAGACAAGAGAGGGAAGAACGACCACGCCGAGGACGAGAGGGGGGGCACGG